AAAGACATTTGGCCATCACCTCACTCGTGCTTAACTAACTCCTTGCTTTCAGTGTCAGAGTCTGGGTTCTGCCTCCCGTATTCGAGGTCAGCCTGTGCACTTAGGCCTTTGCTCTCGTCCCCTCTCATCACTAGGACCTTATTTTGTTGGCTTTTTCTGTTTTTTTTCCCTATGTCTTCAGCTTCTTCATCTTTCTTCAGTTTATTGACATAATCAACTCCCCTTTGATCCTGACCCTGCTCTATTGAAGCTTACTGTTAAGATCACTTTTAATTTATTGATACATTGCCTAATTGCTAAATCTGATGGATTCAAAAGTCATTTGTAGTGTTTGGGAAATCTTGAGCACTGATCATTTTAAATCAAGGAATTTATTAATAATGAACGTTTCAGGTGTAATGGTATTGTCATGGTTTGTATGTATATCTTAGAGATAGGTGATAACTACTGAACAGTGACAAGGCATGGTACGTCTGGGATTTTCTCTAAAATAATTGAAGCGACTGTGTAAATAGTATTTCTACTGTGTTAATCGTTGAAGCTGGGTGATAGGAATGTGGGATTCATTACACGGTCTCAACCTTTGGATGTGTTTGAAAGTTTCCTTTTATAAAGTTTTTTTTTCCCTTGAGTGGAAAAAAGAAGCAGGAAATAGCTGAGAGTAATATGAGGGAGAAATAATAATTTCATTATAGTTAAGTATGGCATGTAACACAGAAAGCTTCAGGGCTGTTAAGCTGACTTTCACCAGTAAAAGAATCGAGGTGTTGACAGTGCAGTGGACGTGCAGCGCCTGGCATCGCAGGTGCTGGATTACTACCTGTTGGCTGAAGAAGCTCGCTGGAGCTTGGAGCTGGACTGTACAGACAACTGGGTGGGGAATTTTAAAGGTTGTCTCTTAAAAAAAAAAACAACAACAGTACTTACCCCAAACCCCATTTGTTTTCCTAAATAATAACAAGTAATATGACATTTAACACGTGCTGGGCAGTGTTCTAAGCACCTCCATACGTTACCCTTTCTCATCCTCACAGTAGCCTCGTGAGAGAGCGGTTGTTACTCTCCCCACTGTGTAGATGAGAAAACAGGCAGAGAGAAGGTCAGTAACTGGCCTCAGATCACGCAGCAGCTAGAAGAGTAACAAAGCCATGATCTGATCTCGGGCATGTTTTTAATCACAATACTCCAGTAATATATATTTTTAAAATTTCATTTATCTTGGGAGGCGGTAATTAGATTTATTTATTTATTTTTAGAGGAGATATTGGGAATTGAACCCAAGACCTTGTGCATGGTAAACAGGTACTCTGCCGCTGGAGCTGTACCTTCCAAGAGTCATATTTTTTTAATCACAATACTCAACAGCTTCTCTTATAGTAAACCTTACAACATTAGTGTTATGTTTGTCTCCATGAATCATTTTAGGTAAAACCGGACTTGTCTAGGACACGGTTAGGTATTCTCTGAGTTTTTTTTGCAGGGTAGGGGGATGGTCTCTCTCAATTCAGTGTTTGCTTTTTATTGAGTTAAATTATTCTTGTTCATTGTGACTTTTGTTTGTTGGCTAACCTGTCTGGACTGGGAAATGTATACTCTGTTGGGGTGATTTGC